AGAGATTTCCTAAGACTTTGGAGCCAGAACCCTGCAGACCTGTGTCTGTGTTTGCCTGTGCATTGCTTGCCCTGCATCTACTGCTTCTCTCTGGGGCTGCACCAAATACACTGGCTTGTGGTCTTGTGCCCACCCAGAGGCATGGCTGGATTCTTAGTCTCTTCCAACACTCTTGTGGGCAGTCCTCTCCAAGGAATTGGCCTTAGCTGGTACTGAGGTGCCTGGAGCAGAGTGGGAATAGGCAGTGGCTGTTGCCATGAGGGGTGGTTCTCAATTCAGCTGGCTGTGTGTGAGGCTTGGCCTCTCTAGCTACCTCTGCCCAAACTGCAGTTTATTTTCCAAGTCACGGTGAAAACAGCTACAAAGGGCAAATGGCTTTCCCGGTGCAGTGGGAGGAATGTACACGGCTTGTTACCGCAGGGCTCAAACCGTTCTGTGTTGTCACTGCTGTCGGTATTTGGAAAAGGTGGCAGACATGGATAATAAGGGAGATGTCAAAGGTTAAACAGCAGAGATTAGATGAACACAAAGACATGTTAAGGAAGTGTTAACTTCTTACCGATTAGACAAAAAAAAAGCAGTACACAGAAAAAAACCCCACTGTTTCAAAGGGCCTTGGGAGTCATCAATGAAACAGCAGCATTCTGCTGCCCCAGGACTAAGGAGAAGGGGAGAAGAATGGCTTTGGCTGGCCTCAAACTAAAATCTGTGACAAGATCAAAGGAAACCAGATCTGCCTTGCCAACCCCTCCTCCTCCTAACATTACCACTGCCTCTCACTACAATAATTGAATCATGTTTGGCGTTTGGGGAGGGGGCTTTCTAGGTTTGTTTTTAGAGTTCAGTTTAATGGATTTATTTTACAGCAAGAGGTTTTAAGCAAATCCCACTTGAGCAGCCCTTGCCGTGGCCAGAGGGAATAGAGTGACTGGTGGAAGTGAAGAGCTCCTGTCTGGGCTGGGGAGGTAGCTGATAGGTGGTTATCCCAGCCGGTGCAGGCTGATTCTCTGCCCTCTCCTCTCACCCCATGGCCAAGGGGCAGTATTACACTCTGAGCCGGAGTCCTGGCCTGAGATCCATAGTATGTATGTCAAATCACCTCTATTATTTTCCTACTGGAAACCCACTTTTTGTTAGCCCGTAGGGAAAACTGCTACTGGTATGCTGAGAATTTAGAGCTGAGCTATTGAGTAGTGACTTGGCAGCCCATCCTGTTACTTGTGCCTCTGGCTGGCGGTCAGCACAGCTCTGTTGCTCAGAAGCAGCATGGCTGACTTCCAAGGGTTGGAGAGGCTCCGAGGCTTCCTTTCTCTCCCGTAGTGATGTGCACTCTCTCTGTGGATTCCATGCTGTTGTTGCTATCTTGGAATTAGTTGCTGAGTGGTGCCTTGCCCTGGCCGAGACCCAGGAGAAATGATCTAAGATATCCTGGAGCCTGTACTAAGTGTGCTAGTGCTGGTGTCTGTCCCTGCTCCCTACTGACAGCAACGTCATTCTTGTCCTCAGTGAGCTGGCTTTCAGCTTAAATTCTGAAAGTCCTTAACTGTCAGGCATAGGCCATGAGTTGCTGTTGGGTCCTGTGGCACTAGTCTGTGAAAGAACAAGTGTCAGAACAAGTGTCATGGAAGACCCTCCCAAGAGCGGTACAAAAAAGCCAGAAGTCAGGTAGGGCGTAGGTAAAGCCTCAGTGCTACATTATAACCTTATGATACCTACACAGGAAATTCCCACATACACAGGCAAGGAACTTCCCACATACACACCACTATCAGTAGGACTGGGAGTAGATAAGCCTGTCTGTGACAGTATGTGGTTGGATTTAGGATCAAGTACTCCATTCCTGTCCTAGCTCCATGGATATCCATGTGTGGCTGATGGGAATCTCATTAATCTTTTCCTACATGGTCTCCCTACTAGAGCACCATTGTTCTGTGAATTCCTCTGTGTGCATTTAGGCCAACATCTTTCTGTATTAGAGCTGCAATTTTTTGCTGTTTCTATGGGTTAACTTCCCTCTTCCCAGCTTTCTGGTTTTGAGTCCCCAGGTATGCTGGTGTGCAGAGCTCCAGCAGCCCTTTACCGGGAGACTCGCGAGTGCCGCGTCGCGGAGCCCTCGGCAGCAGAGGGGCCGCAGTTCTGTGCCGACAGCACCACCTACAGCCACTTCCATCACCTTCCCTTGTGCTCCCAAGGCTCGTTCCGTGCACTCACTTCACAGTACTGCAGCTCATCTTGGCTTATCTCAGGTTGTAGATGCTTTGGGACACTGTGTGTTTCATTCCATGTGAGATGCCATGTATTGACACACTGCAAGATATGGCTTTAACAGCATTTTCCATTTTCTTCCTCCCATCTCAAATCTCACTTGGCAGAACACTGTGGTGCTTCCTTCCCAGATTCAGTCTGTCTTTTTTGTTTGCTACCTCCAGATCATGTCAATTGCCTTGTGACTATTGGACATGTTTATGCAGGGGGATCTGTTTGGATGCCCATGACTTTGCTTCCATGTTGAATCCTGCAGCATTCTGAGATGCAGTGACTAAATCAGAGGGAGAAAATGGAATGTTCTAGCTTCAAGAAGTCTTCAAGGCTCTTACTTAATTTTTCTAAGAAAGTGACATCTGACAGTAAGATGAGTGCAAGCACCGCCCTACAGGAGCCAAGATGAGTTTGCAATGTCCAGTGCAGAGCTTGGGAGGCCCTACTTGTAAACGTGTCTGAGGCAGTTGGGAATGGAAATTGGGCAGCAGGAGACATGTGCTGCAAGGTGAGGCCCCTCAGCCCTTGCACGCTAGGGACAGAAGAGGGGACAGCCCCCCGTGCCAGCCCACCCCAAGGGACTGTCAGCACTGGCAGTGCTGTCCTTACTGACTTCTTGTTGGTGGTCCGGATGACACAGCAGCGCTGCTCCTCCTCCACGGAGACACTGTAGACCTCTTTGGGGTAGGGAAGGTTACGGATCCGCCACTGGAAGCTGCTCAGGGTATCCTTCCTCATGAAGATAGGCTAGAGCAAATAAGTACCTTTAGCAAGGCCCCTCCAGCTGTCTCCTCTCCTCCCTGTCTCCTTCCTGTACTACCTTGTGAGACTCCACATGGGAACAGCTGTTCTTTCACACTGGAGCATTAGGGAGTAACTCAAGAAGCTGCCTGAACATCACTCTCCTACAGCTAAGGCTGCTCTGCCTTTGCCCAGGGCACTGCTTGCAGGAGGCTGAGAGTGTTCAGTGAGGAAGCCTTGCAGTACAGGGTTACAGGGGCCTCTTCCTCACAGACAACCAAAGAGTGAGCTCTGCCTGCTCTAGGAACCTGCTGGATTCAGTCCTAGCTCTGCCCCAATTTGTAGTGCAGAGCTGTGCTTGTGTTTCAGAAGCACAGCTTCTGAAAAGATGATGAGAGACTAAAACAGCTGTACCCTCAGCTAGAGGGGTGTGAAGATGAAACAAGCTGTGCCCTATTAGGGAGCAGCCTGCTATGCACTGCCTGTGCACCTTTCATTGCTACCACCTTTGTTTCAATCCCCTGACTTGTCCTGGCACTGGCCTTCCTCTCACCCTGCTCTTTCAAGACTGCATAGTAGTTGGCCACACAGAAATACAGTTTCTTTACTTAAGGAAACTACAAATCTCTTGAAGACTCCTAAAAACCTAAGCTGTGCCTTCTTTCTACGCAGTTTTGGGGTGACTTGTAGCAGAGTGCTGGGTGCATTAAGGCTGTCTCTTGGTGACCTGCGCTCTACCAGCTACTGCTGTAAGCACAAGACAAGGTGGTTTTAGGTGCAGTGGTACCTGCAGACCCTTACATACATTGGAGCTGCTCTCTGTTATAAGCTCTGACTCCAGTGCTCCCAGGAGTGGCGAGGTCGGCTCTCCCACTTCCACCTGCCACTTGCCAGTGCCCCCAAGGGTGTTCTTCTCTCGCCATTTTCTACCTGGGGAAGAGAGAAGGGTTTTCATTTGTCTGCTCTCTAAGAACTCCAGCAAGTGATGGCCAGAGCTGCCCAGCACACTGAGATTATATGAATATATGTATCTTAATTCCAGTAATTTCAACTTTGGTGTGAGTTGATCTGCTAGTTGGCCTATTCCTAGGTCAGAAATTCTGTGCTGAATGCCTCTTTTTTGCTACTTGGTGCTGAAGCCATGGTGGGGTTGTGACAGGTGCTGTGCTGCAGCTGATGTTGTTTTGGACAAGAGCCATAAACAGCACTTTGTCTGTGGTAGCAGAAGCCACCAAAAAGCATATTTCAGCCCTTCATGTGGTACAGACTTGGTGCCTGGCAACTATGATGGCAATCTCATCTAGTCCATCCAAGTCTGTTGTGACAGATGGGATGTTTGGGGGAGATCCTGGGCTAAAGCAAGGTGTGCTATGCCATGAAAGTCAGAGAACCCTGGCTGCAGGCTGGATCCTACTTCTGTCCCTACAAAATTCTGCTAGACATGCCTGCCTCCCAGAGTAGGCAGGGATGATTTGTTCCTGACCGGGTGATCCCTCTCAACAGCCCTGAGGGTACAGACCCACTGCCCTGCAGAGCACCACTTACTGATTAACTGGCCAGTCTTAATGTCATACTCTTCGGCCATCTCCTTGCCATCCTCGAACAAGTAGTGGATCTTCCGCTTCCCTAGAGGCAAGGCAAATGATGAGAGGAAAGGGGACGCAGCTACCCCTGGGTGTAGGGCTCTGTCCCACTGTCTGGGGCCCTATCCCACTGTCCGGGACCCCGTCCCACTGCCCGCGTTGATGTCCTTCCTGGGGCCCTGCCCGGGGAGCGGGGCTGTGCCCAGTAGCGCTCCCTTCCGCGCCCGCCCGCTGCAGGACCACCCCACACGCCGCGGCGGGGGCAGGCGAGGGCTATCCCGACCCTCGCCCCGCGGTTACCGTCCTGCACTAGCGCCGTCTTGCCGGCCGCCCGCAGCCGCTCCAGCCAGCTCGGCACCGCCATGGCGGCCGCGCCGTCGCCGCGGCAACGCGGAAACTTCCGCCCGCCGCCCGGAAGCGCTTCCGGCCCGGCCGAGCTGAGCGCGGCCCTGCCCGGCCCGGCCCGGCCCGGCCCCGCGCTCGTTCGGGGCTCTTCTCCTCTCCGGCCGTCCCCCCTCGGCTCCCCCGGGCACAGCCGCGAGGTCTGGGGGGTCGTTCTTGCCCCCGAGGTTGTGGGTGCTGCCAGCCCCGAGTTGGCGGCCTTGAAACCTTCGCGGCCTGAGGAGGCTGGCAAGGCAGGTTTGGTGTCCGTGGCTTGTAGGAGTTAAAGTACAGCCTGCAGAATCACACTTCGCAGCCCTGCAGCGTACTTGGGCACCCAGAACCTTGGCGGGCTTTTGGTGTGGGTTTTTCTTTATCTAATATAAAGGATTACTGTTTCCAGAGGGGTTTTTTGTTGTTGTTGTTTGTTGGGGGCTTTTTTTCTTTTTTTTTTTTTTTTTTTCTGGCCAAACGTCCTTAAAACTGAAACGTTTCCACGAAGGTGAGTTTTAGAAAAGTAGCAGGATTTCTGTTCCCATGGAGTTGAACGTTAACTCTTGCTCACAGAAGTGAGGGCTTGAGTCGAGCTCTGGGTTGCTTTTCAGAGGATTATGTTTAGTTCTTATGAGAAGGTGACCACAGCAGGAAGCCATGGCCCGATGGGACCATTTTCAGCTTTTCCAGGTTTGGTAGGATAGGTTTGTGGTGGACTGTGTGTGAGAACTCTAAGAGAAACACAGAGTGCTGCACAGAGCGGAAACCAAGCTGGTGTTTACTCAGTGCTGCAGCCACATGGCTGTTGGGATGTACAGTGATCTGCGGCTTGTTTGGGCTACAAAATCTGAGCTTCTTGTGTCCTGGTAGTACAAGCCCCGAAGTTTGCATTTGCAAGGCTTGTCATGGTAAAGCTACAGTTGTACCGGTATTGAACTTGGCTAGTTAATCTTTAGTAATTTGCTATTTCCAGATGAAGCCAAGTTGGGAGTTTTCCTCTTGTGGCTGTGTGAAACACCTGGTGTCAATCAGTGTTTTGTCTCATAGGTGACTGGATTTCAGCCCTGGCAGGGGAAGTGTTTCCCTCTTGGGTATGTGCTTAAGGAATACCTGTGAAATAAAGTTGCTTCTTTAGGCTGAGCAGATAGGGGCTCTAAACTGTTAAAGTAGTTGAATGCTTTCCATTGTAAGCACTCAGCTGCAGAGGTTTCTAAGACATTCGGTAGGGTTAACTTAAGTGACTTTCTGACTTTGGTTTTTCTGACCTTGTGGACTGCAATTCTTGATTCCAGTTGCCTCTCTCAGGCTGAGCATTTTTGGAAGGCAACAACAAAAATCTTCAGAACAACAAAGACAGTGAGCAACATGGGTGAAACTTGAGTTGTGGTTAGGTAAGATCTAAGCAACCTTGCTCTTTCTAATTTGTATCTAGCAATTGCTGCTAACTTTCCCACTGGGCCTATGGAGCCACGAGGGATTGTCAAAGCCTTTCCCAAGAGGAAGAAGGTGAGGGATGACTCGGAGAAAAGCATCCCTCCAAAGATCCTGAAAGAGCAAGGAACAGAGATACCTGAGGGTAAGTCCTGTGTCCCTGTGATGCAGGTTATAATACTTATACCCAGCATGTTAACTGCAAGTGCTGTTCCCCAAATGCTTTTTCTGGCCCTCAGTGTGTTCTCTGTAGTGGTCATGGCCAGCTTGGTTTGGTGTGTCCAGCTGGAGCCCCCCAGAGACTGCCTGCCAGGGCTGGTGCCATCAAGTCCCATGTGAGAGCTGTAGCCCTGCTGGGCTGGGGCACTTTCTCCTGTCACTGTGTCCCTGCCCCTGTGCTTTCCTCAGCAGAGTGGCTGAAACCAGTCATCGCCTACGTGTTGCAAGCCGGCATTGGCCGGGCCAGGGCCGAGATCTTCCGCAGGCAGATTGCCCAGAACGGGGGTGTGGTTCACAGCCAGCTCTCCTCGGAGGTGACACACGTCATTGTGGCCGAGGACATGGACTGCGAGCGCGCCTTTCGGCTCCTCAGATTAACCAAGCTGCCCCCAGGACTGCAGCTGGTGAAGGCAGCCTGGCTTAGTGCTTGCCTTAGAGACCAGAAGCTGCTGAGTACTGCTGGCTATGGTGTCTTTATCCCTCGCAGGTATGCAAGTGCCACTCTGCCGTTCCTCCCTGCATTTCTTCTGTCCTAAACTAAGCAGCACTACAGTTTGACCTCTGCTCAAAATCATGGACTGCAGCTCCTTGCAGCTTCTATGAGCATGGCTCAAAGTTCTGTGTGGTAGCAAAACATGCACTAGGGCCCAGAAGTACTGCCAGAAGTCCTGTCACTTGCTACAGGTGCTAAAGGCACCTCTTCCTGATCCATCACTGATAACAAGATGTCTCTTAAAAATACTGGGGATTAAATACTGTTTCTTACTTATTGCAGATTAAAGGTAGAGAGAAATTGGAAACTAGGCACAAGAGGAAATTAAAAATGGAGCAGCAGGCACAGATTAGGATCAGAATGTTTTGGCAATGTTTTGGAAAGAGAGTCTAAGAGCGAGGTAGGTAGGAGTGGAAGTTGCAGGTCAGCAAGGTGAATGTTAACTGGGGAGTTGAGCTAAAACCAGAGTAATTAATCCGTGATCTGAGAGAGTACAATTCATATGGGTTGTTCGGTCCATCCCAAAACATGCAGAAGGATTTCTTGGTCACACTTCTGGGGGTTGAGAAGTCCTGCTTCTCCTGTACTGAGATGTCCAATCCATGGCAGGTACCTGGAGGAGGAGGAATTCCAGAATGAACAGCAACAGATCCTCGACAGAGAAAAAATCCAGCTCCCAGCAGAGGAGGGAGCAGTGAAACTGAGTACTGAATCACAGGTGGAGGATTCCTCACAGCGAGGCTTGGGCACCCTTGGACAGCAGCAACTGGCTGAGGTGAGGCTTTCCTGCACAGATTCATCTCCTTGTGGGCAGATCCTGCATGCTGCTTTTCCTGGCTGAGAGCATCCCTGCAGGGACATCATGTGAGATTTTCTCAGTGAAGGGAAGGCGTTTGGATGTTCCAGTGAGCCATAATCAGGCTGTGGACATGGTTACTGCTTCTCTTTGTCCTTTTTAGGTGTTACAAATAGAAACAGCGCCCCTAAATTGCTGTTCCCATCAGAACCTTTCCAGCTGAAGCAGTCCTGGTGCTCTAATCAGGACAAGGCTCACTATGGTGATACTCACTTATGTCCTTTTGAGGAATATTCCCTGTCTGAGAATATCTTCTTTTCAGGAAGCTGTCTGTGATATTTCATCCCATGTTCCTGCCTGAGGCATATGGACCAGTTCTCCACTCCTTGGCAAACGCCCTGTTCAGAAACATGTTTGTACAGTGGATCAGGTTGCTACTAGAAGAGTCATGGAGGTGTTCTTAAAATATCTGTGTTGGATTATTAGTGGCTTCTGCTGTGAGTCAGCATCTCTGGCCTGCTGTTAGCTTTCCTTCCTTTCTCTGTATTTTTGCTCAAATTTGCTGAATTCTTCTTGAGCGCTCATGTAATTTAAATCTGTCTGTAGCAAAGTTACCTCAAACATCCCCAGCAGCTGCATTGTATTACTGGCATCCGTTTTGCAACACAGTCCAAAATTTTGTTGCCCAAGGTCTGTAATTACTCTCTACCTGGCAGTTCACTGAGGGCACAAAAGCCACATTTGTAGACATTTCAGTAATGTCCCAAGCTTAGATCTATGTGACCTGGGGAGGAGTGGGATATGTGACTTGGGGGGGGAGTGGGATACTTGAGACCCAGCTGCAGCAATAAAGCTGAAACTTAGTTTAGAAGTAGCTTTTAAGCAGTAGTTCTCTGCAAGGCAGCCTCATAAGCAATGCCAGTTAGTCTCTGTTAACCCAGAGCTGTCACCCCAGGCTGCCTGTCTCCCTCTCAAGAAGTCTGTTGCTACTAGTTGGTTTTGCACATGTGGTTGTAAAGAGTCCATCAGCTTTGATGAAGTGTAGAGAGTCAGGGGTTTAAGGGCTGTTTCACCTCTGTGACACTGCTGGCCAAGAGGATGGGAATTGCTTCCAGCTCCAGCTGCAGTTCTCTGTGTTGTGAATGGATAACATGCTCCTTTATATGCTTTTAAGGGGCTTACTGACTTATCTGAGCCTTCTGAAGCTTTGCTGCCCTTAGAGAGAGCAGCATTTCAAGGGAGTTGCATTTCAAAACAAATTAAACTGATGAAATCTGTCAAATTTTCAATCTTACCCAGTTTTCAGAGTTATAAAACAAGACTGCAAAACACATCTCATCTGTGTGTCTCCAGACCTCCTGCCTCCTCAGCCAGCAGAACCAGAGGTTGTAAGGATGTAACTCTTCCTTAGGCTCACACTCTGCTGAAACTCATAACAGAACATGGTGTGCTGCATGTAATTGCTAGACTGATCCCAAACAGCCCTGCATCACTCAGAGTTACTTCCACAACACGGAAGCTCTTGGATCTTCATAGACTCCTGTGTTTATACATCAGGGGAGATAGGGACCCCAGTGAGCAATGCAGTCTCCAAAATCTCTGTGCGGCTTTCCACTTCTATCCCCTTTTGTTCGTTACCTGAAGCTGAGGCTCATTGTTTCTTAAGTCTACACAGAGGCATCTTAATGCTGAGGGTATCAGCAAATGCATACAGTGGTTCTTTCTTCTGTCACTGAGGAATGTGGAGTCCTTTGTGTCATTCCTTCCTCCCCTTTTCTCTTGCAGATAGCCATGGGGAAAATGTGGGGATTTAAGTTTACTACTCTTGTTAAGATTTTGTGTCTGTAAACGGAAAACAAAGTTCAGTGCCTATCTGCATCATGGGATAGAAGTTGCTGAGTCTGAATGTGAGAGATGTGTCTATGCTGCCACCAGATGAGCTAAAGGTTTCCCAGTAGGAGTAGGGAGTCAGCATCTCTGCTAGCCAGGGATTTTGGCATTGTCATACCTTGCTGCTGGCAGCAGTTGCTCACTTACTCAGTGTCTTACCTCAGTTAGGAGCTTGGCTGTAGGAGGGGACTGTATGTTTGAATCACAGGTAGACAGCAGTATAGTCTACTGTGCAGTGTGCAGTGTGCATGTGTAGCTTGAGGTGTGAGGAATTGTGGTGGGCATATAACCAGCCACTTCTAGAGGTGGCAATTGGAGCGTGGCATGCCCAGGAGGGAGGGTGGTTAGTGCTCTGGCTTCCTAATCTCAGAACTAGCTTGTGCCAAGGGGATGTATGAGGCATGTACTTATTCTCACACAGCTGCTTTCTGATCTTTCCCTAAAGAAATATTCTGATGATGAAGACAGTGAAGGAGAAGATGCTGGTGTCACCCAGGGAGACCTGGAAGCATTGATTTCTGGCCGCTACCCTGTGAAATCATCCGAGGAGATCAGTGACAGCTCTGACACAGTGGCCCAGCCTCCCAGCAAGTGGGTTTGTGCCCAGTCTTCCAACACCAAGAAGGAAAATCACAACCAATGCATCACAGAGAAGTTGGAAGTGCTGGCAAAGGCTTACTCTGTCCAGGGGGACAAGTGGAGAGCTCTGGGCTACTCCAAAGCAATCAATGCGCTCAAGAGCTATCACAAACCAGTCACCTCTTACCAGGTAAAACACCTCCCCAGGGGGGTGGAGCAGGGAGATGGACCTTCGATGGAAGTTGTATAGCAAGTGCAAGTTGAGATTTATTGACCACACACAGTGTTTGCAGAACAGTAGAAAAATGGATTCTGAGCCTTTTAGGGCCAGATCTGGACACTCAAGATAGAGAGTGCCTTCCTTAGACACAATGCAGGGACATTTTCACCTTGCTCTTCATCAACAGCAACTGGCCACTGATAGTAATAACATGTAAAACTAACTGGATATGAGTCTTAGGGGCTGTGACAGTCCAGCAGTTCAGTGAGTTCATGTTTCAGTCTCATTCTGCAGGCTTGTCCTTTTCCACTTGAATTGATCAGCCAAGGTAAGCCTGGGCTAGAGAGGAGATCAGCAGGCAGGACTAGTCCTGCCATGTACCCTTTACTCATCAAATGACTAACCAGGCTCTGAGTCAGTAGCAGCTCCCCAGCTTGTCTATGATCTTTGCTTTTCCAGTAGCAGCTCTGGTTTCTTTCTAGGAAGCCTGTAAAATCCCTGGGATTGGGAAACGGATGGCAGAGAAGATCCTGGAGATCTTGGAGAGTGGGCACCTGCGCAAGCTGGATCACATCAGTGAGAGTGTGCCCGTGCTGGAGTTATTTTCCAGCATCTGGGGAGCAGGGGTCAAGACAGCTCAGATGTGGTACCAGCAGGTAAGTCCAGTGCCTTACACAAGAGGCTCTTGGGTTATGGTTTGAAGACTGCTGCTGAGTGTAGGAGAATTACTTTCACAAATAGTTTTTAATTGCCAATATCTACAGGTAAGATTTAAATCTGGTTTTTTTTGGGAGGAACTATGAGGTTGGGTCCCATTGTGTCTCAGCACCATGCTGAGACTTTAATTGTGCTGGGACAGGTAAAGGACAAAGATGTGGAGAAGAGGAATGGGAGACATGCTGCCTCTTCTCTAATATCACTTTTTGGAGCTCATGTCACACTAGTCATGACAATGATGTTGCTGAGAGCCAGGCTTGAATCAGGTCATCTTGGCCTTGAGAGCTCCTGATGCAATTGCTGACTGTTGGCCTGTAGCTGTCAGAGTAGCAATCCATTTTGTCTGAAAGTTACAAGAATGAGGTTGAAATAATTGTGCCAACAGGAGCAGCCCAGGCCACTGGATGGGTTCCTTCTTTAAAAGCAGTTTGTCTCCTGAACATGAGCTAATGAAGCCTGGTTTCCTGTAGTGTTCGGTTTGTGATTGGATTCTTGGCTTAAAAACACGTTTGTGTTCATGCTCTCAGCTTTCCCTCATTGGGATGTTGTGGGTGTTGTTCCTTTACCTGCATTACATGTTTTCCTTCCAGGTGTAGGGACACCATGCCTTAAGAGCAGTAGCCTTCTGTCAGAGGAAGGGTGGAGATTAGAGGTGCGCGTGGATAGTGCGATTGCCTAAATCCCTTCTTTTAGGAATCGGGCCCTAAAGTATTCTTTACACATGATCTCAGAAGCTGTGACTTGGCCTGAACTTGAGACAGGCTAAATACAGTCTTCCCAAGTCTTCATGGCAAGTATGTGAAGAGCAAAGTCTTGGTAGATGTCTGAATATCAGCACATGGTCTGCTCTAGGGTTTCCGGACACTGGATGACATCCGCACCAAGGCCACTCTGACCAGCCAGCAGGCTGTGGGGCTGAAGCACTACACGGATTTCCTGGAGCGCATGCCTCGGGAGGAAGCTGCAGAAATAGAGCAGACTGTGAGTAGCTTGGCCACAGGCCCTCAGAGTGCAGTACCTTGTGAGACATGACAGGAAGGTACAAGCTGTGAAAATAGCCCTCGTGTTATAGCTGAGCTCTTCAGCCGCTCCTCTTAATGGAGTCAGTGCTTGGGGGACCCTTTTTGGGCATGGGCACACAAGGCACCTACCTTGCCCTGTAAGAAAGTTCAGTCTGAGTGTCTGGCAAGGAGGAGGATACTTCACTGAGGTTAGTCCTACACACTGCTTTGAAGAAGGCTGCATGTGGCATGGTGGGATAAGCAGGTTCCCAGCTCTCCTGTCTTGCCTCTCATCATGTCTGGAATGTCTGCTTTCAGCTGAGGTGTCCCTGGTGCTGCTGCTTCAAAGGAAGCTGTGAGCACCTCGTGATCTAGTTGTCAGCTAGAGAACAGAGGGTGGATACCCTTGGTGGAAGCAAAGGGGATCCAGGCTGCAAACAAGTACTGCTTGCTGTAGGATGCTGTAGGACTCCATGACTGTGGGGTGCTAAGCCAGTGTACCCTAATGTGAGCAGAGAGCCTGGGGGACACACTGTCATTGCTTCCCCTGTGCTGTCAAGTCACCATGGAAGCAGCAGCCAGTGTGACCCTGTCACTCGGCCACAGGGCCTGGCCATGAAGAATACCTTCCTGCCAGGCTCCTGCTGGGGTGTCAGTCCTGTGTGCCGGATTAGCCATTTTGGTGGTGAGTGGTCCCTTTCCCAGGCAGGCTGGGCTGAGGAGCTGGCTCTTGGGAATGGGTCTATTGTTATCTTGATGGGATTACTGTGCTTCCCTCCATACACAGCACACACACCTCTGATCCAGGCCCTGGAGAGAGAATGAGGGATTAGTCACTGTCTGTGCTGCCTGTCACAGTGAGATCTGAGGAGCTTTTAGGCTCTCGGGTGGGGCTGGGAGTTTTCTAGAAATCTTCATTTAAAGCCAGAAGGGGGGCAAAAACACCAGAGGAGAGCTTGCTCCGCATGAGAAAGGCTTGTGGCTTCTTGGAGCACCTTTGGGGCAAAGGTTAATGGGTTTATCCCTTGCTAATGAAGGATGATCCCCAAGAGTGACAAGGGGCTGTGGGCACGGACACTGCCTTGCTGAACCCCAACCTCCGTGATGGCCCCATCACTAGGAATTGCTGAGCCCTTCATTATTTGCTGCCAGCAGGGTGATTGGCACAATCAGGCCAATAATACTTTAGGCCTGTCAAGGACTTGGGAGCCTTTCTTAAACATGTAATGAATAAAGCCATCAGAGTTAGCACTGTCTGCACAAAACAGGAGCTGGGGTCCAGCTTGGAGAAGACTGTAATAGGGGAAGTTCTTATTATGTGTTTGATTGCTGGCAGCAGTATGTTGGCATCCCTTTGGTGTGGAACAGATTGTGCTTTTTTTGGGTCAGGAAACCCAGCTCTCCTGCAGAGGCAGAGCTCCTTGCAGGAGTGAACTCCAAGGGGTACTCACAGATTTTCTGCTGTGTTGGATCCTGCTGGGGATACTTCACAAGCCCATCCCTGTTTTTGAAACAAGGCCTGTGACCATCACCTGTTGAACTGATTTGCTTTGTGGGCAGAACTGGTAAGCCTTGTGCTTGTAGGACAGCTGAAAAACCTCTTATCTCATGCTGTCTCAGAAACCGAAGGCTCTGAAAGCTTGTGCAATACTTTGCCCCTTCGTATTCCTGCTTGTCCCAATACAGTGCTCCCAAGAGCTGATGGTTGATCACTGTATGGTGTGGCATTGTGCAGGACTGGGTGGAGGTCACTCTGGCTCACTCTTCCCCCGACAGCAGGTCAGCCTTCTTGGTGGGGCAGTGTGCCATGCCTGCATCTGGAGATGCAGGACAGGCCTGAAGGCAGCATGAGATCCTTTGCTGCCTTGATCAAAAGGGCATGGTCTGACTCCTCATCCCTCTTTCTCAAAGGTCAGACAAGCTGCCCTGGCCCTGAAGCCTGGCCTCGTGTGTGTTGCCTGTGGCTCCTACCGTCGGGGGAAGGCCACCTGTGGAGATGTGGATGTGCTGGTCACTCACCCGGATGGGCAGTCTCACCGTGGGGTGTTCAGCAAGCTGCTCAACAGCCTCCGCAGGAGCGGTAAGAGGGTGGGGAAGCTGCTCTTACAATGGCCCAGGCGAGGAGGCAATGAGGTGGATGGCATTCATTGAAGGATAGGTGATCACTACTCCCAAGGATGGGACATCTTGTTAGTCCTTAAAATTACTGCCCCTGGACCCGGTTCAGCTGTAGCTTTAAGGAGGGAATATTGCTGCAGCTCTGCATGTTATCCCTGGGGTCCCACAGCTCCTTATGGTCCCACTGTTCTCTAGGCAGTGGGGAGTTCAGCATGGAGGTGTCCATCTGCCACTGAGCTCCTTTTGGCCCGTTCTCTCTTCCCAGGCTTCCTTACAGATGACCTGGTGAGTCAGGAGGACAACGGTGATCAGCAGAAGTACCTGGGTGTGTGCCGCCTGCCCGGGCCGGCGCGGCGTCACCGCCGGCTCGACATCATCGTGGTGCCGTACCGCGAGTTCGCCTGTGCCCTGCTCTACTTCACGGGCTCGGCTCACTTCAACCGCTCCATGCGCGCCCTGGCCAAGACCAAGGGCATGAGCCTGTCGGAGCACGCGCTCAGCTCGGCCGTGGTGCGAGGCCCTGGGGGTGCCAAGGTGGCATCTGGCCATACTCTGCCCACCCCCACCGAGAGAGATGTCTTCATTCAGCTGGGGCTGCCTTACCGGGAGCCCTCCGAACGGGACTGGTGATGCCTGGTTCTCACCCTGGGCTTGCTGCTGTGCTGCTGTTTTGAAGGATCTGATTTCCCCAGTGGTGGAAAGGCTCTGTGGTGCCTGCAGGCTGAGGAATATATCCCAGCAAACTGGGGCTCCTTGTAAGCATGAGGCGTGGCTGCTGGGCAGAGCTCTGTGGCTTCCTCAGCAGAGGCTGTGGGCTGGACCCACACTGGAAGTGCTCTCTTGGTGTGGCTACCAAAAGGGCTCACTGCCCATCCCTGCTCTCCCCAACTTTGGAATATTGGGTTGCAGAACCTTGTGATCCAGCCCCTTACAGTGCTTGGGAACAGGGGAAGTGGGATGCATCTTCCTCTGTATCTGAGCACTGACACTGTGAAATTTCTGTTCTGAGCTGTGAATGAAGGCAGCAGAGGTCTAGCTTGGTTCTGTGACAGGCTTTCCTCCTCACTACTGCTGGCAGCTGCTACTGCAGGAGTCTCAAGGGGTTAGCCTGTGCTGCTGCTGTGTCCTGTCTGAGCTGATGTGTCCTTTGATGGGTCCTATTCCACAGGGCAAGACTGCTGTGACTGCCACCAGCTTTCCCTGGTGCCAGCTAAGCCTTGAAAGAGACATAGGGACCTGAGGTGCTGTACCTGCTTGCTCCCAGCCTTGTGTTCTGAGGATCCTCCAGATTTACTCAGAGCCCTGGTCTGGCCCAAGACCTCCTTTCTTGGTGCGGGAGAGGAGCTGAGCTCACAGCTTGGGGAGGTGTGCTCAGGAGGGATTTGAATGTAATGGCACTGAATATAACCCAGCAGCGCTGTGTGTCTGTCTGTAGGAGGCATGGAGACAGAGAGAAGCACAAGGAGATAGTCAAGTTGTAACTGGGGCAAAGCAAAAGCTTTTCCCTTTCTTTTTGTGTGGAAGCCATGGAGTCATCTGGTTTTTGGTCAGGGAAAGTGTGTGTTTGTGTATACGTGTGCATGTGGCAGGTCCCACCAGTTCCATGGGAGTGAATTTTATTTCTCAGGAAACATTGACTGTTTTATATTGTGGAGATGAATTTCCCAGAGTGCTCTGTCTGTTGCAGGTATTGCAGTGGTTTATCCTGGCAGAGATGCCCTGGTGGGCATTTCCGTGCCAGGACCCCTGGGCTCTTGCTCCCTTGTGGGGGATCTGGCCCCATCAGGTACAGTGACAAAGCTGCACGTTTGCTGCTAGGGCAGGCACAAACCAGGTGGGTTTGCACAGTTCCTGTGGCTGCTGGGCACCAGCAGGGCTGGGGCTTTGCTGGGGTGGCCCACACCCCAGCAGTGGCATTTGTCAACCCAGCCTTTCTGCTGGATACCTGAGGGAAGTGAATGTCTTTTGGCATGTCTTGGTGCTTTGAAATTTGAAGTGTAATAAATAAGTCCCTTCTATCTTTTCCCTTGGTATGTCTGTCTTTTTGCACTCTGCACTGTGACTGTTGGGACTGTGGCTTACCAGGAGCTCCTCCTGTGCTGGTTCATTTCCCTGGTTTCAGTGGAGGAGGAGAACATGCAATGGAGATCATCACTGTTGGACCAGCACTTCTGGCTCTCAGGGCAGGAAGCTGCTGGCCATCATCCTCCCATACCATCCTCTGTCCTGGCATCCAGCTGGCCATGTGGCTGAGCTGGAATTGGCTGTTCACTGACTCAGAATTCTTGAACTCTGGGCCTTTGGAGGGGGCAGAGGGCCCTCATGTGGCTAACTGTAGCCAGTGGGCCATGGATGGATAAGGACCATTTCTCCTCGGTGTAGCTGTGGAGGTTGAAAAGGGCAGGAGATGAAGGAGCACAAGGAGCTTGTCCAGAGCAGCTGGAGGGTGACCTTTCTGGATGTTGCTTCTCCCTCATCCTGGTTCTGAGAGAGAAACATGAGAAGCTGGGCCGTGCCACTGCAAGTCAGCCCTGCCCTGGCAGAGGGGACAGAGCTGTCCCACACATGCTCCTCTCTATACCTCTAATCCCTGCCCTTGCAGCAGGGCCTCACCACCCCCTTCTCACAGCCCCCCTCCTGCCTCTTCCAAGCCACAGCATGCCCCACTTGGCAAGAAGGTACAAGTGTTGGGGGTACTGGGGTGTCTGGGAAGAGGTGGGTGCTGAGTCCCCAGGATCAGTGCAGGCAGGGAGAGCAAACATGGTTTTAGGCATCTCTAACGAGGTCTTGCCTAGTTTCTGCTTCCCAGGAAGGGGCTTCAGCTATTCCCCCCTCCCCAGCACACCCCCTCCCACTTTCCCTGGCTGTGAGTCTGATCATCCTGAAAATTAAAAATAAAACAAAATGCAGCAGCACTTAGAGAATGAGTGGAAAGTCGTGGAGCTGGGACAAGCCCTCGGGTTCTGCCGCAGAGCCCCTTTCTCCCACTCTGCCATTCCTGTACCCTGAAGGTGAGTCTAGATTGGGGTCTCAGGCCATTCCTCTCCCCTTAACAAGCATCTCCCTGCCTCCCTCATCGAAAAGGAAGAAAAGCTCTGGACAAAGAAAAAGCTCTGGGTGTTAGGCAGCCCTTCCCACCCTGCTCCCTACCCTGTGGGAAGGATACCCATCCTTAGCTGTCCTGCTAATCCTGGTGCAGGGATGGGAGGGGGCTGGTGGAAAGGGGTGCAGGGAGGGTAGTTTGGCTCCAACTCTGGTACTTTGTGTTCATGAGTAAATATTTGCTAATGGCAGCATGGCTGGGCGAATGTAGGGGAGCTGCTGCTCCCCCCGTCGGAGCAGGCAGGGAAATGAATATGAATTTATCATGATTAGGTGAACTCAGCAGGGAGAGCGGGAGAGAAAGGGCTAGGCAGGGAGGGGGCGGGCGAAGATGGATCTGTGCAATAAAATTAAATAAGGACACCAAATAGAGTCACTTCTCACGCACTCGCCCGCCCTCCTGTGTGCAGGGCCTCTCCTGCCTCCCGCGCTTCTCTGGCTTTGCTGATTTCTCTCTTTCCTCGAATTTATGAGGCCAATTATGAAGATGAGGTTGGAAGTTCTCAGAAGTTCACTAAATGCAAAGTGTGGTCCCTGCTGTTCCTATCAAATTAATTAACCAAGCGCTATTGATGGCCGGGCTGACGTCGGTGCGGTGCAGAGCGTGAGGGAAGGGCTGCTGGGGTGTCGCTGAGCAAGCCTGGTTGGAGAAGGCCTGGAGGGCAGAGCACCCTGCAGGGCACCCTCAGGGCCAGTGGGTGCAGAGTGAGCCCTGCCTGGGCAGCAGGAGCAAGGAATGCAGCAGGGCATGCATCAGGTCCCGGTGTGATGGTTTGTATTGCAGTCCCTGTTTGCAGCAGTTTCCTCTGTCTGGAGTAAGATCCAGCTGGGTGATGGCAGAGCTGCCCTGAAGGGAACATGGCATGGATACATGGCAGGATGCTGGGCCATGTTCTGTCGAGGATACCATGGTAGTGCCTTGTGGTCTGCACGAGCCTGTGTCTGCAGGAACAAAGCCAGGAATCAGCGCTCTCTCAGAATCATCCCCTCCATCTGGTGAAGGGACTGTGACCCCAATCCCATGGGAGTGGTCTGCACAGGGGCTTCATGCTTAGTAGACAAATGGCTTTCCCTATGGCTCAGCAGTGATGGTGCAGCTGGGACAGGCCTAATGCCACCCTCCCTTGCCCCTTGACTCCCAGCAGCCCTCCCTGCCTCAGTTTCCCTGCCTGGGCTATAGGAAACAGCCTGCCTTGTAGGATCTCCTGAGCAGACTGTCCTGATTCTACACAGCCCTTTGGCCATCCCTAACCTCTGTGCGAAGCCACCCAACTCTGTGCAGGCTCAGGGTGCCAGTGAGTGCCTTTGCCACAGGGGCAGCCACGTGCCTAGGTCACGCCAGCTCTCACATGCTCTCTGTCATGTCACTCCCTTCCAGGGAATGTGTTCTGGGGGCTGTCTCCAACATGACCCCCATGCCTGCCCTGTCCTGTAGGAATGCGCCCCCTAATGACAGAGGGGCAAAACTACCCTTGGCCCCCCAAAAAAGGAAAGAAGCCTAGAAGCTTCTCTCAACTCTTAGGTGAAAAGCCACCTTATAGGGCCTCAGGGACTTCACCAAACACCAGAGAACATCTAATTGGATAGAAGCCAAAAAGTCCCGCCTGATCAATCAAGTAGAAAAGAACAGAACAAAAGCGAAGAGGGGCTTTTGTGTGAAGTGTTTCTACCAGGGGCAGACCTCTGTACCTGGCTCGAGTTTTTCTATTTGTTATGTTACCTTTTATTAAACCTTTTTTGTTTCTAACACTGCAGCAGAAGCCATCCTGCTTATTTTATGCCCTCAAAGTAGTAGCTGAGCTATCCTTGGGTGTATTAAGTGTTTTTCTAGGGCTTATGAGAACTGGCCCGGGACAAACAACTTAATGCTGTCCCATGGTTCACTCACTGCAGGGAAGGTGCTGCAGGGCTGGGATGTTGTGAGTCCCCAGTCTGCTCAGGTGCAGGTCCCCTCTGCCAGGTACCCGCTGGGCACAGGGCTCCTCCTTCGCCTACCTGGAGGAAGGTCACTCAGAGCAGTTTGTAGTTGCTCAGGGTAAATCTCAGCACTGGCTGTGCTGCAGCAAATGCTTGAGGTTGTAAAAGGATTCCCCCATGCTGAGGCCCTGGCTGAATCTCAGGATGTCTCTGCATGCCACATGGGCACTCTGTGCCACAGTTTCCCTCCTTGCATTTCCTGAGGCTGTTTTTCCTTAGGGCAGGGTCTCTTTTTCTCTAGGTGCAAATGACATCCCAGTTCTTGAGCATCCATTTAGTGGCTGTGAGTTGTGGCCAAGTAAAGGGTCAGTCCTCACCCCCAAAGCAGCCTTTTTTCGCACCAAATATGTGTGCCATAAGGCTCTGTGCTTCCTCTGTAGTGCCGTGGACTCCTGACTTAAATCCTTTGGCAGTTGCTGGCCAAGCAAATGAGCTTGTCCAAGGGGTGAAAGAAGCAGTCTGTGTCCTTAGACCAGGGATCCCACAGAGGCAGAAGAGCACAGAAGGCCAGATCCAAGCATTCTCCCCTGTGTCCAGCTCCTGGCATGGCTCCGGCTGTGTCTCCACCATCCCAGCTCCTGCTTCTCTTTGCTGGCTTCACTCCTGTCCCGGTGATCAATGGGCTCTGGTTGGGCTGGAAAACAGCACAAACAGAGGCATTTACAACCCCGCTGTCTCTCCAACAGGGCCATAACTCAGGCTTCCCGTCACCGTGGGGAATGGGAGGCAGGAGCTCCTGCTTTGGTGGCAGCAGCAGCACCGACATTTTTCCTCCCGTGGTAAATGTGTTACTTGGGGATAATTTACCTGCTTGTGTCAGGTTTTAAAAAGAAACAGACTGGCTGCTGAGCAGCTCCTGACACTTGCAGTGTGCATGGCATGAACACACATGTCTACCCAGAGAAAAGAAATCACCTATGCTGAAAGGACCTGTTTGCAAATGCCTGCACTTTGTTGCTGCGGTCTCGGTGTGGAGTCTGTCGAGTACTGAGGCTGAGATCTTGCCACAGTCCGTCCCTCCATGGGCTCTCCAGGGTCTGCAGCCACCTGCAGGTTCTGGCAAGGCTGCCCAGCTGCGCCGGGGGCTGCTTGGGGCTGGCTGTCCCACGTCTCCCGCAGCGTGCCGGGACCATCCTCTGCCCGCACCCCTTCTCCAGGTGAGCGGATCGGGGCTTGTGGGAGCTGCTGCTGCCGGTGCCCTGTAGTGGCTGAACACCTTGCTGGGGACCCAGGGCGGCTGAGACGCTGCTCCGGCCGGCTCGATCAGCCGCCGTGCTCGCCGGCAGCAGAGGGAGCCGGAGGACCGGGGATGGCAGCACGGGCAGGCAGGACGAGGCTGGGCCGGGCCGGGATGGGCAGGGCAGGGCAGGGCAGGGAGCCCCATGGCGGGAGAGAAACCCTTCTTCATCCAGATCCTCCCCTAGCGGGGCAGCGGGAGGTGCCCCGGCCTGCGGGCTGTCCCCTCAGCCCCGTGTGTCACCTCTCAGACACATCACCCCTGTGGGTGCCCAGCTCTGTGGTGGACGCTTCCTGAGCTGGCCCTCAATCCCCTTTTTGGGCTTTTAGGGTCTCAGCCCCACTGTTTTGTTCTGGGGAGCCACGTAGCCTCTCTCTGTGGCACAGCCCCTTGTCCCCTCCCTGGGACAGTGCTTCTCTTCACCCTGAGGACCTGCTGGTGGGACAGCAAGGTCCCCAGGGAGCCTGGCTGGGTGTGATGGGGACAAGGCCTCCATCCCTGGGAAGTGTCCCAGGGCCAGGGTGGTAGGGTCCTACAGCACATGGTGGGCTCTTGTCACTGCTGTCCCCAAGCCTCCTTGCCCATAGGGAGCTGATTTATGTCTGGGCCAGCCTGACTGACCTCCTGCTTGGGCTCAGGCATTATAACTAATGGCAGGTCAGTGGAGCTGCAGCTAAAGTGAAGTGGCTGGCATGGGTCAGGCAGGG